GTGCATAGAGGTATACAGAAGGCATTAGGCTGAGGGTGTGTGCAGAGGTATACAGAAGGCACTAGGCTGAGGGGTGCAGAGTATGCAGAAGGCATTAGGTTCAGGGTGTAAGTCTACCGTCCTTCCGTTGGTCTTCCGCTTGTGACATACATTCTTTGTCCTTTTGTTCTTCATTTCCTGCCTTTTAAATTAATGAGCCGCAATCCACTCAACAGCAACGGGTTCGGGCTTTTTAGCTTTGGCTTTTTGTTTTCTATTTTGGGAGGTTGCTCCAGAGATCACAATACGCCTCCTTCGTTTATCACAGTTCATATTAGACCCCGCCACGCGTCGGTCAGTACACATCTCGCAACAGTGTAAATCCATTTTAGCTTCTCCAGCCCTTTGGGTTATTACTGTCATATATTGCACTTCAACAGCTAAGCACTCAACCGCTAACCGAAAGGTTGGCAGTTCAAATCCAGGGGCACTTTGGAAGAAAGTCCTGGACATCTGCTCCCAAAAGGTCACAGCTATTGAAAATTCTACAGAGCACAGTTCTACCCTGCAATACATGGGGTCGCCATGAGTCGGAGTGGACTCAACGGCAACTGTGAGTTACTTAGTTTAGTTATGCACGTTATCACCCCACTGATTTCAGATTTCTGGCCTTCAGCATCGTAAGATAATAAATTTTGTATTGTTTTAAGCCACTGAATTGGTGGCTGTTTGTTACAGCAGCAAAAGGGAACTAATACAGACTGTGCCCACTCCCCTTTCGGCCTGCTTTTATTTGCTTTCCAGTGTCTCAAACCAGTTAGGTTTTTTAAAATTTTTTTCCAGAAGTTACCATTGTTTAATAGCTGGGGTGTTAGTCTGATATCAGCTACTCTGCCGTTATCAGAAACAGAATTCATCTTACCGTTTTAAAATGAAAATGATAGTAACACTGACTTCCAAAACACGTACGCCTCCAGGGGTTTCAAAGAAAGGACGCGGGCTTGTACCGATCTCATGAGGTTGTCGGGGATGAAGTGAGATAGCACAGCACGCGTAAAGGGCTTCCCACGAGGCTGGACATGGACCAAGCCTTCGGTGACGCGGGCGATGGTTGTTAGAATGAAAAGGGCAGTGATGGGGTTATGATCTATGGGCCAATCAGCAAGGCTGGAGGAAGGGCTGGGCTTGGGGGTGATTTGGGCAAGGCTGTTCCTGGAATGCCTACCCCCTCTCTTCGCATCAGTACCTCCTCCTCCAAG